TACGTTCCACGTAGATTCCGTCCTCCCACGGGTAGCCCTTCGCCAGAACCCACGGTAACTGGCTTTCACCTTTCCCCCAACCCCCGTACTGATCCTGGCGATGTTCCCTTGGGCTGCCCGGGTTGTTGACCTGTGGTTGACCCCCTTTTTCCGCCTCCTCGGCCCCCCCCCTTTGCCCCCGGCTATCTGTCTTCGCGTGTGGGGAGACTAAATCTCCTCACAGTTGTTCATTGCTGTTGGCTTGGCTATGAAGCAGTTTGTGGATGTTGTTTCACTTTATTCATAACAAACTTTACCATCAACAATGGGATGCACATAAATTTCATTTGGGGGCAACCATAGGAAAATACTTAAAACTTTACATATACGAACTAAAAAGACGCACATTTTTAACAAAGATTTACACGAAACACAGAACAAATTATTTATATATATATATCTGCAAAAATAAAGTATATACCATATCCATTTTAACAGAGTTTTATAATATAAAAATTATGTCAACTGCGGACAAATTAAAAGTGCATAAATATGAGTACCATTTTGTCATACTATTTTTAGAAAGTTCCGTTAGAAATGCCAAGCAGACCATATTGCTTGGTAAATTTTGAACAATCAGCTGATAGTAAGACCGGGTTTCGCTTGAATAGCTTAAAATCAATTTTTTTATTTTTGACCTATGGCAGCGACCACTGTGCATTGGCGTTCCACATTGATATTCGTAGCGTCTCCATAGATTATTGTTGCAATGTTGTGCTACGAGCAGGTGTATCACCATGTTCTGGTTTTGAACAAGCGTTTGCATGGTCGTTTTCATGAATGACATAAGCTCCATCATACTTTGTTGGAGGGTAAGCATCATGGTTTCCATTTTGCTGTGTGGCTGTTCTGGGGCCTGTTGAGCGCTTTGAGAGTTAGGCTGAATTGGAATTTCCCTTCCAGATCGTGGAGCATCGGCATACGAGAAGCCGTTGGTGGTGTTTAGTGGACCGAATGAGGATCTCGCAGCTTTGGCGAAGAAGACGTCTGGCGTAGTTTTTGACGCATTGTACGCATTCTGTGAATTTTGGTTGCGCGTTGCGGTCGCTTGACGCATGCGACTCTTTAACTCCTTATACACCATACATCCTCTATAGTTTGCCGTATGGCTGCCTCCGCAGTCTCCACATTTCTTCACGGTACTGTCCTTGTTTGTAGTGCAGTAAGCGGACTTGTGGGCATCCCCGCAGACTACACAGACAGCCCGAAGTGTGCAGTAAGACCTTGTGTGTGCATACTCTTGACAATTAGTGCATTGCACTGGACCGTTTATGTGGCTCTTCAACAGTGATTTCCCGATGCAAAAGATATTGCAGGTTGTAGATTGGGTGGACTTCGTTCTTCTTCAGCGACCTGCTTTCTGGCTCGAGCTCGACCTTGAAGAGGGGTTGTGGCTTTTTATCTTTATTTAGAATGTTAATAACATTCTTGGCGGCGAAGCCCTTTTCTTTAAGGGCGGTTTTTATTTCCGCGGCGGTAACATCAGGTTCTATTCCCTTTACTACCACTTGTAGGCCCACTTTTCAGCTGGTACGTGTAATAGTTTTTCTGTACAGTGTCCAGATATTTGGACACGATTCGGAAGTGCTCTTCACTCTTGGTATGCACCTTTGTTTCATGGATGTTCCCTTTGATAAGCGGAACAACATGAAAGTTGTCACCGTTCCCAATCAACGACGCAATTTTGTTGATCAGGGCACTCGAGCTGTTCTCCCTAATATAGATTGGAGGGGGCTTGGGTTTTTTTGTGGTGTCTTGGGCTGGTTGGTTTTCCTCAACCTCCGCCAGTAGGGCAAATCTGTTAGTAGTGGATCTGTCTGGATCTTTATCGATCTTCAGGACACGGGTAATTTTTGTTTTATTGCCTGCCGGAGGTGGGGTTCTACACTGAGAACTCCATGACGCGGGAGTCGGAGTGAGCAGGGCGGGTGAGCAAGACCTTGCCCTTTGGGTTTTAGCGGTCAGTAAAGCCGGGTTGCTCTTAATCGCCGGTTTTTCCACTTCGGTATCGCGGGTTGAAAAGTAAGAGTAGAAGCCGTTTATTTGGTTCACTGAACTTCTAAACTCGTTCTTTTGATCGTTGCTCAATGAGCTCATTGCGTGGCACTTATTTTTTTTTTAAACAATGCAATAAACTAAAAAAAAATCAATTAATTATAAATTTATATATTTATATATAAATATATATATATAAATATATATATATAAATATTTTTATATATAAATTTGTATATTCAAAAATGGTAGAAGATGATTCTCTAAGACTTTTTTGTAGTCTGTGCTATTCATGCGAGAGCTCGTAAAGCCCAGATTAAGAGTTCCAGACGCATGAAAGGCTCCCCAAACCATTGCGGATCCACCTCCGAAATAGCGCCTTGAAAACATGAGAGGATCCTTACGCAAATCTCGCCAATAATGACGAAACCCATCTGGGCCATCCAGATTAAATTTTTTCTCATCAGAAAAAATGATCTAAGTGAGAAATATTGATTAAATTTGTATGTATAAACAACATGAAGTTGAAATGCCATGACGAGGCCCAGTTGGTTTCCAAATTTTTTTCAGCAAACTGAAGGCGTGCTTTTTTGTGTTGGGGCTTTAGGAATGAAGCCTTTTTTAAAACTCCCCTTACAATAAATTCCGAGGCTTGCAACATTCGCCAGATAGTCATCCGAGACAGGATGACTGCAAGACGCTGCAAGTGAGGTGCATGATAGAAAAGAATTGCTTGCTTTTTTCAATATGCTTCGTTTATTACGATCGGACAGCTTGGGTTTTCTGTCGGAGCTACGTTTAAGACCATATCCATCCGGATCGTTTACAAATTTAGTGATAACACAGCGTGTTCGACAAATTATCCGCGATGTTTTGCTAATATTGAATCCGGCATCGTTGTAAGCTCTTATTCTTCAGCATTTTATTAAAAACTAATGAAATGTTTAGCAGAACTTTAAGTAAAACAAATTCGCACCAAATCTTTCGCGCCAGCAGGAAAAATCTAAATGTGTCGTATAGTTTTGATACACGTGCAGCGTAGCTAAAATTGAAGCGTGTGTCCTTTTTTTACCATTACTCGAAAACGGGAGATGCAAACAAAGTGAAAAAAAATATCTCATTTTGTGCATTAAACATTGTGCTATCATCCCTCATACTGTGTTTTGATCGTTTTCGATTTCGCATTTTGCTACGAGCGCCGAAACAAAGGTGTCGTATAATTTTGGGCAGGAGTGTATATAAATTTAGTGTTCTATTGCGATCGATGGCCTGCGTTTATGGAATTGGTCCGGACGCTTTTCAGACATACGCAAATTAAACTTCGGAAATTTTCGGTTATTTTTACCCGTGGTATTAGATGCCGTCCTCTGGCCATAAAATTTTATATAATATAATATAATATATATAATAATATATAATAGTTTACGTTTCGCCTTCCATAGAATGGTGTCGGAAGAGGTTTAAGGGCCTCTTAGCGCCCCGAAATTAAGATTTTCGTAGTATTCGACAGCACCACACACGAAAAAGTTCTAAAACTTAAAAAAAAATTAAATGACGGAAATTTAAAGCGCTTTGCTTCACTCGTCCAATGGGCTTACTATATATCATCAAAAAATAATATAATTTCAAGAAAAGCTTACGAAATTTTGATGTACCTCATGAAGATGTGTGTAGCTTAGTTTAAGACAAAAATATAATAATAATTACATAAAATGAAAATTAGTTCTTATTTAATTTTATTAATTTAAGGGGACCCCCCCATTTTCGGTTTCAAAAAATCGGTTTTTTTTAATTTAATTCGAACTTATAACTATTCAAGAATGTTCCTTTAAAATTTCAAGTTAACATTTCAAAAACTCTTGAAGATATAGCCGATTTATGGTGGAAGCGTCAGGCGACGCGAGGGCGTTACAAAAATTTCAAACACGGTTTTATACTATATTCGACCTAATGAACAATTCCTACTAGGTCTCTTCAAAAGTTCCAAATCACTGTCGCACTGTGTTATTTAACGCTAAATCGGATCCCTGGCCCACTGTGTGTCGGTTGCATCCTTAGATAAATGGGAAAAACCTGAGAGGAGCCGAGGCTGCATTACAATGATGGAAAATTTTTGAAATGCCGCTCCACCGTTGTGACTGCCACCTCTTGAGGGACTACAAGGGACTTTGCATCAATTCAGCGCATAAAGTTTGGCGCCCTTTACTAATGCACTCCTAATGCATTACCGGATTTGTAGAGCTCCACGGATAGCTCATCGTCACACGCCCCCACCTTGAGAATACCCTGGATAGCCGCTTTGCAGTAGGTCTTTGTGGCACATCTTGGGAGCGTTCTGGCTTGCGCTGCAGTGCTTTTGTTTTGGGCTCCTGTGCAGCAGTTTTTTGTTTTAAAGTGTTCTGGCACCTTAAGCCATACTTCTGAACTTCTTAGTCTCTTCCACATGTTTTCGGAGCGAACATAGAATAAAATAGAATAAACTTTTCGAGCATTTATTTTAATTAGGTACAAAGTTTTTTGTTAAGCAGTTATTTGACCGTGTGGACTTCGATCATACTTCGAACGAAACATCCTAAAAAATGTGCAGAGTCGCTGCCCCCAACGAATCCGAAATTATAGGAAAATTGGCAAACACATTCAATGCTGTCTTTTATCATATATATTCAATAATTTTCAAGCTATTTAGTGGTAAATGTGGAAGCAATCGTATTATTTATTGTAGCGTCTTAGACTATGAGACGTGCTGCGTAAGAATATTTTAAAATGTGTAATAATGTAATTACATACATATATTGAATTTTTCGTCACTGTTCGTAAAATTTGTATAATACATTGTCGTCATTTTATCTTATCAATAAAAAACACATTTTATGCTGTCGAAACATAATATTACTAATAAATGTAACAAATAAAATAATCTAATTTTAAAAAGTAAACTAATTTAAACCTCAAAATTACTTTTTTAGCGCTTTATATTTTACGGTACTGTCATGGGCGGTGGAAACGATATACGATGCGGATTGGAGCCATTAGAATTTGAAGAATGTATTATTGATAGTCCAGAGTTTCGTGAAAATTTAAATCAACATGAAAAAGAATTGGATCATACTAGTCATCAAATAAAACGTATTATAAAGGAAGTCAAAGACCTCATGACTGCTGCTAAAGGTAAGTACCAAATTTTTTTTCCTTATTCAACTTATATAGTATAGATGATACATATTACATAATACATGATACATATTACATATTAACACACTATTTATTTATGCAAGAGTTGCCATAACTATAATATAATAAAAATAGGTCATGAAATTTACCTTATTAATAAAAAAAATTAATTTTCATGGAACTATTAAAGAAGGAAATGCAATGGCCAACATTAATCAAAACTTTTCAAAGGGTATCATAATTTTAATTGTAAAATTTATAAAGTCGACGTATCAATTTTTGTTGATGAATTATTTTTATAAGCTAAATAATTTTTTAGCTTCACTTCATTTTTTATACCCTTGCAGAGGGTATTATAATTTTGTCCAAAAGTGTGCAACGCAGTGAAGGAGACATCTCCGACCCTATAAAGTATATATATTCTTGATCAGGATCACCTCCTGAGTTGATATGAGCATGTCCGTCTGTCCGTCGGTCCGTCTGTCTGTCTGTTTCTACGCGAACTAGTCTCTCGTTTTTAAAGCTATCGTCTTGAAACTTTGCACGGCCCGGATCGGCCCACTATATCCTATAACTGCCATATAACTGATTGATCGAAAATGACCCAACTTTCGTGAGAGAGAGAGATGAGAGCAAATACTCTTGGCAAAATAATACGACGTGCCAAATTTCAAAAGGATCGGCCTACCATATCTTATAGCTGCCATATAACTGAGCGATCGTAAATGACCCAACTTTCGTGTATTTGAAGATAGAATAATGAAACTTAGCAAAGGTTCTATTTTTGGTTGATCCAACCTACCAAATTTCATTAACATCGGTGGACTATATTTGGTATTTGGTTTATTTGGAAGTGGTATTTGTTAGAAAAATAAATTTTCGTATTTTTGAAGATAGAAGCTTGGTACTTTTTTTTAGATTTTTTATTTTAATTAATTGGTTTTATTATGATGTAATCATAAGGATCGGCCAACTATATCCGATGTTTGCGATTTATATCCGGTTTTAACTGCAAGGGTATATCAATTTCGGCTCCGCCCGAAGTTAGCTTTCCTTTCTTGTTCTATTTAATTTTGTGAAAAAATCGATTTATACATAACAAAATATTTGATAATATTTTCGGAGCTTTACACTAATATGTATTTTCATCTTAATGTTTTAAGGGGCTATATGCAGTTGACCGCGCAAAATAATGAAATTTTATCGATTTTTTTTTTGACACCATAGAAAATATTTATAAAAAATGTTTTAGCGACGTTGTTTAGTACATGGTTCTGGGTACCTATTGAAATTTTCTCATTAAAAATTATTAAATAATAAAAATGTTATAGCCGAATTCCAAGATCGTCTTTTTTCGATGGTGTGGTGGACATCACACCCCGAGAACCTCATCCGAAATGAAAAATTTAAAAATATTTCGTTAGTATATTGTATTGCCTAGTCCGTGAACGAAGGATTTTTAAAAATTTTGATTAAAAAAAATGGCGACGGTTTTAACAAAAAATATACTTTTCCAAGGTATAAGATTTTCGATTTTGATGCTCTAAAAAGGGAGTTTCCAAAAAATCGTTTACGGACTAGCTAATATCATAATAAATAAGTGGTCAAAATTTGGTGTTGATCGGATTAATAGTTTTTTATTAATCGTGTCCACCGCAAAGGTAATTTCGAAAAAACAAGATTCTGAGATAATCGCGTTCAAGTTTGTTCAAGTTTGATGTGCAGGTAGTGCGCTATATATAGCTACAACTTCGGTTCAAATGCTCCGATCTTATGAATTTTTGTGAGAGTATTCTCAACATTCTCACAACTGTATATAACCTCTTAAATACCCTAAGATGAACATACATTTTTTTTAATTACACGTAATTAAATTATCTATGGAATGGATTAAAATTACATAGATAATTCATATATTGGATTTTTTCAGCGACAAAAAGAAAACAAAATTTAAAGTAAAAACGACCCTACATTTTTCAACGCCGCTTTTTTATATTTTTTGCAATCGCAATAACAAGAGTCCACACTCTACCAGACTCCTACTAATCAAGAAAATTTTAGAATTTGTAGTTTCAGATTTTTACAAACTGTAAAAGAATTGCCAGCGGCGTTCCTGTTTCCATTGGCTTACGTAGACTGCGTCCTGCTTCGGAAATGCTTTATTTTTATGGTGTTAGAAATATAACTAAACAAGAAAGGAAAACTAACTTCGGGTGGAGCCGAAGTTGATATACCCTTGCAGTTATAACCGGATATATATCACAAACATCGGATATAGTAGGCTGATCCTTATGAGAATATGATACTATAACCCAATTTATTATAATACAAAATCTAAAAAAAGTCCCAAACTTCTATCTTCAAAAATACCAAAGTTAGTATTTCTATCAAAAACCATTTCCGATCGTTCAGTTATATGGCAGCTATAAGATATAGTCGGCCGATCGTTATAAAATTTGGTATGTCGGATTAACTGACAAAAAATATAATCTGTACCAAGTTCCAGCTTTCTAACTTCAAAAACACAAAAGTTGGGTCATTTCCGATCGTTCAGTTATATGGCAGCTATAGGATATAGTCGGCCGATCCTTATGTATTTTGGTAGGTTGGATTATCTGACCAAAGATAGAATCTCTACTAAGTTTCGGCCGATCCTTATGAAATTTGTCATGTCGTATTATTCTGCCAAAAATAGCTCTCGTGTAAAATGTGAATTCTGTAACTTTAAAGCACCAAAGTTATACCATATCCGATCAATCAGTTATATGACAGCTATAGGATATAGTCGGCCGATCCTTACGAAATTTGGCACGTCGTATTATTTTGCCAAAAATAGCGCTCGTGTAAAATTTAAACTCTCTAACTCTAAAAACACTGAAGTTATACCATTTCCGATCAATCAGTTATATGGCAGCTATAGGATATAGTCGGCCGATCCGGGCCGTTCCGACTTATATACTACGTGCAACGGAAAGAAGGGTGTGTGCAAAGTTTCAAGTCGATAGCTTTAAAACTGAGAGACTAGTTTGCGTAGAAACAGACAGACGGACGGACCGACAGACAGACGGACATTCTCATATCAACTCAGGAGGGTCGGAGGGTATACTTTATAGGGTCGGAGATGTCTCCTTCACTGCGTTGCACACTTTTGAACAAAATTATAATACATCGGATTGATATCCCTTACAAAAGCCATATATGACAAAGGATATCAACTCCAATAAGTTTGTGGTGGTGGAGCGACGCTTAATAAAGCCATGCTGACAAGGAGTGATAATCGAAGAGCAAAGGTGTTGCAAATGAGGGGTAATTAATTTTTCAAATAACTTTGGAATTGCCGACAACTTAGAGATGCCTCTGTAGTTGGCAGCCTCGGACTTTTTCCCTTTTTTATGTAGGGGAATTATCAATGATTCCTTCCACTTAAAGGGAGAAATCGAGGTTTTCCAAGATAAGTTGAAAAGTCTTAGAAGAGGTTTGCACAGAGCCTTGGCGCAGTATTTTACCACACAGCCTGGTAATCCGTCGGGGCCTGGCGAATAAATGGGTTTGACCCTTAAAAGATTAGATAATAAGTTGTTCTCAGAAAAAATCGGACAGAAAATAAGATTTGCTGCTTGAATGTTATATGCGTAAGGCTGATCTGTCAAATTAGGCGGAGAATAAGTTGTTTGAAAAATTTCTGCGAATAGATCGGCAATGGCCTGATCAGAGGTCGCAGAGGCATTTTCAAACGTAAGCAGAGGTGAAAAAGATACATGTTTACGCTTAGTGTTTACAAAATTATAAAACTGCTTTGGATCCTGAGTAAATGGTATCCGGCAGCGGTCAATATAATTCTTATAACATTCCGCGTTATTCACGGTAAAATTCGACCGAGCTAGTAGGTATTTTAAAAAATCAACACTACTGCAGGTTTTTTTTGTATTTTAGTAAGAGCCTATTTTTAATATTTTTTAGGTTAGTGAGGCACCTTGTATACCAAGGAGGATTTGTTGAAGCGGATGGATATTTCCATGGCACACAGGAGTCAAAAGTAAAGTAAAATTTTTCTAAAGTGACGTTAAGATCAGTGCATGCCAGAATATCGGACCAATCGTATGTATCGATAAGGCTATTAAGTTTCTGAAAATCAGCTTTACGGAAGCAGCGAATCTTATTTGCCACGCACAGAGACATCTGATCGATACCAGGAATAGTTTCGATAGAAACCTCTAGCGTGGGGTAATATGGATCTTGTACTTCCTTTCGTTTGCGCAGTAGATGGGTCCTCCATGTTAGACGCCTATCCAACGTCATTCCCAAATATTTAGGGGTTGAGTTAGGTGGTATGGCAGTGCCTCCAATGCTAATCTGTGGACAGTCGCCTCTCTTCAAGGTAAATGTAGTTTGGGCGGACTTATCATGATTAATCGCAATGTTCCATCTTTGAAGCCACGGGTCAAGGGCATCGAGCTGACGCTGGAGACAGACAGAGGCATCCTGTGGCAAGCTTGCCGAAGCTAGGAACGCTGTGTCGTCTGCATATGTTGCGGCTAGCAAACCTCCTTCATCTATAATAGGCATATCTGCTGTGTATAGTGTGTAGAGAATTGGACCAAGGACACTACCCTGCGGTACGCCTGCCTTAATGGGCCTATAATCTGACCTTGCGTCTCCACATCTAACCCTAAATGACCTATCAATCAGGTATGACTTGAGGAAGGCGTAAATCAAATGCCTGCTTGACGTCAAGGAAAACTGCGCAAAAATATTTCTTCTCCTCCAGGCTGTTTAGAATCTTTTGTACATTGGCATTGTACATCTGTGGCATTGCTCCGGGGTGGCGTGACAACGCCTGAAATCAAATTGATGGTCTGGAATCAGACCTCGTCTAATACAGTCTGAAATCTGCGCAGAAATTCTCTCTCAAGTAACTTGGATAGTACTGATAATAAGCTTATCGGCCTATATGAGGCAAGATCAGCTTCAGGCTTTCCTGGCTTCGGAATGAGGAT